TGTGGACTCTACCTACTGTATGCCAGCACCACACACACACACTTCTCCATGACAAAACATCCGTCTCCACACATGGCCAAATGCCACCCACCCTAGGAGGCAAAATCATCCCAGTTGAGAAACACTGGCATAGACATATAGATCCAAGAAACAGAATAAAGAGCCCAGAACTAATGCCATCTAAATGGTTAACTGATTTTTGACAAAAGTGCAAAGGCAACTGATGGAAAAAGATAATCTTTACAATAAATGACACTGGAATAACTGAATTCCATATGCAAAAAAAAATAACCTTTTTATTAGTACTGGGGATTGAACTAAGGGCCTTTGCACTGAGCTACACTCTCAGCTCTCTTTTTATTTTGAGGTAAGGTCTAAGTGGTAGAATTTCCAGGCTGGGCTTAAACTTATAATTCTCCTGCCTCAGCCTCCTGAGTGCTAGGACTACATGTATGTGCCACCACAACCTGCAAAAAGCCATAGATTTTTTTAAAAAAATTAATCTAAAAATCAATCACAGACTTAAATATGAGCTAAAACTACAAATAGAAAAAAAAATCTTGGTAACCTCGGGTCAAGCAAAGAACTCTTGAAATTCCAGAAGCATTATTTATTTTTTTAAAAAAAGATATATTGCCGGGCTAGGGATTTAGCTCAGTGGTTCCACCACCTGTTGCACAAGCGCAAGGATCCAAGTTCGATCCCTGGTACCAAAAAACAAAAAAGATAAATTGACATTCACCAAAACTGAAAACTGCTCTTCAAAATACACGCTAATCAGGCCTGGAATTTAGCTCAGTGGTTTCGCCGCCTCCAGCGCAAGTGCAAGGACCCAAGTTCGATCCCCAGTACCAAAAATATACAAGCTAGTCTTTAGAGAAAATATCCATATGGCTGATAAAAGAACTGTATAAAGAATACCTAAATTGAAAAAAAAAAAAAAAAAGAATACCTGAAGAACACTTACAACTCAAGAAAATTCAATGTTTACAAACTGGACAAGAAACGTAAACAGACATTTCACACATACACACAATATACATAAATTGCTAATAAGCACATGAAAAGATGTTCAACATTACCAGTCACTGTGAAAATGCAAATCAAAACCCCAGTCAAAGACTACTTCACATTCACTAGGTTGGCTAAAATCAAAAAGACAAGTACTAAGGGCCAGGGATTTAGCTCAGTGGTTCCACCACCTGCCTCAAAAGCCCAAGGACCCGGGTTCGATCCCCAGTACCAAAAAATTAAATAAATAAAATAAAGACAAGTACTGAGGCAGAGATTTAGCTCAGTGGTTCCACCGCCTGCCTCACAAGCACAAGGTCCTGAGTTCAATCCCCAGTGCCAAAAAAAAAAGACAAGTATTGACAAAGGTGTGAAGCAACTGGGCCCCTTCCACACTGCTGGTGAAAATAAATATAAAATGGTGCAGTCACTTTGAAAAATAGTTTGGAGCCAGGGATGTAGCTCAGTGGCACCATGCCTGCCTGGTAAGTGCAAGGTTCTGAGTTCGATTCCTGGCCCCCCCCCCAAAAAAGTTAAACATAGGCAGGCCAGGCACAGCAGTGCATACCTGTAATCCCAGTCCTTGGGAAGCTGAGGCAAGAGTTTGAGGCCAGCCTGGGGTACACAGTGAAAACCTGTTTCAAAATAAAAAGGTAAAGTGGGATCCAGTAATGCATGCCTGTAATCCCAGTGACACAGGAGGCAAGAGGTTCACAAGTTCCAGGCCAGCCCAAGCAACTTAGTGAGTATCAAAATTTAAAATAAATTGAAAAAAAAACAAAAAAAGATTGGGCATGGCATATTGGTCAGTAGTAGAGCACTTCTGAGCCAATCTGCAGTGCCACAAAAAGGGGGGGGGTGTCTAATTGGCTATCTCAGGTAAATAGCCAAGAAAAACGAAAACACATGTCCACATCTGTACATAAATGTTTATAACAACATTACTCATAACAGCCAAAATGAATAATGAATAAATTAATGAACAAGATAAAGTGTATATAACTATACAATAGAAGTATAGATATACACAGTATGGAAGAACCTCAAAAATATTATGCTAAGTCAAGCCAGACACATGCAAACAACCTACATAATTATATGATTTATTTATATGAAATGTCCAGATAAAGCAAGTTTTACAAGACAGAAAGCACATCAGTGACAGGGTGAGGGAAGAAGACAGACTGACCACAACAGGCACCAAGAAATTTGAGAGAGAGAAATATCTAAATTGATTGCAGTGGTGTTTACACAATGCTACCAATTTACTAAAAATCAAGTCATATGTTTACAATGCATGAGTTGTACATTACACAAATTATACCCCAATAAAGCTATAAACAACCAAGGCGTGTCAGCACATGCCTATAATCTCAGCTACTCAGGAGACTGAGGCAAAAGGATCACAAGTTTGAAGCCAGCCTGGGTAACTTAGGTAGACCTTTTGTCAAAACTTAAGAGAATAAATAAAGCAAATGTTATTAAACGCGTGTGAAGCACTGTTGCCATGCTGAAACTTCCAAGAAGAAAATTAGCGTTAGAGATGTTAAAAAAGTACTAGCACCAGGCTGTGGGTGTAACTCAATGGTAGGGTGTGTGCTTAACATATGCAAGACCCTAAGTTCGATCCCCTGCACTACAAAACAAACAGCACCCATGATACTTTCTCCTTGACATAATCAACAAAACTGACAGGGACCTGAAAGGACAGCGTCTCATAAAGTTGACTGGTCCATGAGATGACTCCCCTCATATCATCACCAACATCTCTGAGGTCCCTGGTCCACCCTCAGGGAAACACACTGAAGTACTGTTAGGGTCCCTTCTATCTAAAATTCACCCTCCCTGACCCAACAGACTTCTGGGGAGGCTGGGAAGCCAATGAAGAACCAGGCACAGGAGGATCTTGAGAAAGAACAATGAAAGACACTCATCACCCAGAAGAATGAGGAACAGTAGGGATAAAATACTACCTGGACAGGGCAGCCTTTGAACTGGGCTGGCCAAGAACATCCTATCTACTGCAGACAGCACAACCCAGGTGGCCAATGGGTTTCACCTGCAGGGCCAGCACCAATCGATTAATGGCAGCTGCCCGGAATGTTCTGTAATGGATTCTGAAACCAAGTCCAGGCTCAGGGGAAGGAATCATGAGCAACTGGCAATGTCTACCACAGTGGAAGGAAAGTGGTGTTGTAAGTGCCACGTGTTTGTTCTTTTGTCCATTCGTCCAAGTGAAGTGACAAATAAAAGTGCTCAGGTCCCAGGTAATAGGAAGTGTCACAACGAACTTTCTGATAGGGCCGGGGATTTAGCTTAGTGGTTTCGCTGCCTGCTGCACAAGTACAAGGACCTGAGTTCGATCCCCGGTACCAAAACAAAAACAAAAACAAAAAAAAACTTTCTGATACCTGTTATGCCACTGTTAACTGCTATTAAGATCTGGGCTAGTTATCTGTTTTCCTTTTTAAGCATTATAGCATAACATTTGCTAAGGATTTCTTACAACTTGTGCATGGTTTATAGTATATGTATGTTATCAATTCATTTCACAAATGAGAAAACTGAGTGGGGGGTAGCTTAGGCAATTTGACCAAGGTCACTCAGCCAAAGACCAGCAGGAAGAACACAGGTGGAGAGGACAACACCAAACCTCTTCGCTGATCTGAGGTTATCAGCCCTCAGAGACTCGAGAGCAGTGATAGTGATGAACCTTTTACAGCTTTCAATGATAGAAACAGCCTGCTGCAGCCCAAGTGCCATAGGTTCACCACTATTGCTCTAAGGGAAAGCCCAGGGACCAGAGCCCCACACCAGGCCAGGTTGCCCTTGGCGCCTCAGATACAAGCAGACATGGAGCTTTCCCTGTACTGCAGGCAACAGTGTGCTCTGGCCAGCTGACTATCCCCTTCCAACTGCACTCAAACTGCCAACTTCCTATCCGTGCATCCCTGTAATGCCCCTTGCCCCCATCCCCTCACCTTCCAAAATCAAGATAGAGCACATTTTCTCAAACTTGAGTAGACATCAGACTCAGCTGGGGGATGGGTTTAAAAATGAGGATGCTAGGCGCCAGCAGGCCTGTTGCAGGGCTGGGAATGTTTAACTGCCCCATGCATGGGAGCAGGGGGTTCTGGATCACACGTGAAGGAAACTGGGCCTAGTGGGAGTCCTTATCTTTCTTCTCCCCTCTCTACTGCAAATGACCCACGAGAAGATGGAGAGTGAGGAACTGAAGCTAAAAGTTTGGTCCGGCCACACTCATCCAGAGGCAGCAAACAACGGAAACACGCTTCTCTAGAGCCAAACACCTGATGCTAGTCCCAGCTGTGCCTCCATCCAGCTCCGGGACCTTAGGAAAGTCACTTCCTCTCTAGTGGTTCAGGAACCTCAGCCAGAAACTGGAGATTCTGGCAGGTTTCCTCCAGCTGTTCTCCACCTTGGCTGAAGGTCCTGGTCCTTTCAGCAATGACCCCAGGCTCTCCCCTATCAATCATAATCACCTGCCAGGGCCCAGCACAGTCCCCCTACCCAAACACCAGGAAAGCTAAACCTTTGATGAGATCGGATGTGAAATGCCCAGACTCAGGGCCGGGTCTTCACACCACGCATCCAAAGACAGCAAAAATCTAGCCTCGGTGCTGGAACAATCTTCACGGCACACTTTATAAACACAAACAATGCGCCAAGCCCCCCGCTAAATACCGCGCCCAGACCAACAGAGGCCGCGCTAAGTAACTGGCCCAAGGTCACGAGCCTGGAAGGAGCCGCTCCGGATCCGACTCTGGACAGGCCGTCCCGGGCCCCGACCACCCCTCAGGCTAAGGGAAGAGGCGGCGCGGGTCTTCCCGCGGGTGCCCGGCAGAAAGGGTCCGCGGCCACGCGGGGCGCCTCCACCTGTGTTCTCACTACCCCCCAACCCCCGCCCCACCCCACCCCCACGCCGCGCCTCCCGGCGGCGTTCCACCCGCGCCTGGCAGGAAGCTCACCGGACTTCGGAGGGTAGCGATAGGCAGAGTTAGCCTGGATGTCGATGTCCTCCACCCCCGCGATGCGGCGGCTCAGGATGGAGCCCATGATGAGGGCACGGACCAGGACTTGGGCGGCGGCGGCGGTGGTATCCTCACGCGGACATAGCTCGAAACAGGCCGCACGGACACCCAGCCATACTGGCGCCTCGAACCGAGCCCCCCACCTGAACTGGCCGGGCCAGACGCCGCGGCACCCCGCCTTCCAGCCCGCAGCTTCCCGGGAAATGGAGTCCGCTCCACCCAAGTGCTCCGAGCCGCGGCGCCGCAAGCGCGCCTGCGCACTACGCCTCCCAGCTTGCCCCTCGCAGAGAACGGTCAGCCTGGGACAACCAAGCGGCGCATGCGCGGGAGGGCAGCTTCGGCCCCAGCCAGGAGGCTCTTCCTTCCGAGGCCGGAGACCGGCGCTGGTCCCGTAGCTCCTCGGTCTCTTCGTGATCTGTTCTTGCATAGACCCTTTTGGGGACCCAGCGCCTCCTGTGTACCCGGTGTCTGAAACACCTCCCGGAGGCAACCTTGGACCTCTCCAAAATCCAGGGTTCATCTCCCGCCCGGTCAGCAGAGGGCACACGTTTACCTGGTGCGAAGAAGGAAGCTAGGGTGAACCCCAAACCTCCTGAGGTAGACCTCACAGAGGAAGCAGACACCTGAGTCAACCTTGAACAGAACCCAGCGCATCTCTCCGGACCCACAATTGTTCAGAACAATTACTTTGAAGATACAGTTTTACAATCCCCGTCCAAGGCAGTAGACGTCTTCCCACTTTACACTAGGGAAACTGAGGTATATAGAATGTGCTGAAGGCAATTTTCCAAGAATCGGGGTCAGGATCGAAACCTCGAAATTCGAAAGGTACTTCCTGGCTTTCCACCCACACACCTCTGTAAGGTGGCCAAACTGAAGCCTGTCTGTACCTTTTTCAGTTGAGAAACTGGGGTTCCAAGAAGAGCATTTACCAAGTCAAGCCTGCTCTGCCAACAAAGCAACTAGGAAGACTAGTGACAGACTAAGAGTCTTAGATGTCAAATTCACCACAGCGATTAAATTCACACAATAAAATACTCCAACCTTTCCGGTAAACCAGGATCCAATGGACCTTATTGCTGAGAGATCTTGTAAATCCAAATGAGTAGGATGAGAGAGACCAGGTCTTAGAGGTAGCTGGTTAAATTTTCCTGCCCTAAAACCAAGATGCACACTTACTGAGCACTTGCGATAGCCCAGGCATGGTGCTGAGGGCTACGCACAGTCTCTCATTTAAAATTTCTCTGATATGTGTTCTAATAAAAAATAAAATATGTTTTAAAATGTACTGAATTCTATTTTCATTCCCAATTTACAAAATAAAAAATTAAGCCTTAAAAAAGTACCCCTTTCTAGCTTGTGTCACAGCAAAAAGTGGCAAGCTGGGATTTGCTCTTACCTAAGGGACTTTCTTGTGTTCCCAGAGACAGTAATGTAATAATACATCAATGTACCAGATTTCAAGTCTCTTGCCTCCTGATGGATGAACCTGAAGACATCCTCACCCCATATAGTCTTTCTTCCCTTATTCAAAATTTTTTTTTCAACTGGGTGTAGTGGTGTGTGCCTATAATCTCAGCACTGGGGAAGCTGAGGCAGGAGGATTGCCATGAGTTTCAGGCTAGCCTGGGCTCCATAGTGAGTTCAAAGTCAGCATGGACTATATAGCAAGACCCTGTCTCAAAAACACAAGAAAATGGGCCAGGGATTTAGCTCAGTGGTTCCACCACCTGCCTCACAAGCTGAGGGCCTGGGTTCGACCCCCGTACTGGAAAAAAAAAAAACAACACAAGAAAATGGGGCCAGGGATTTAGCTCAGTGGTTCTGCCACCTGCCTCGAAACCACAAGGTCCTGAGTTTGATCCCCAGTACCGAAAAAAAAAAAAAGAAAAACAATTTTTCCATTGAGTCACATATTTACATATACATACACCCATATATCAACACACGGGGAGGGAAAGAGAGTCCTGAGGATTTTAATGTTGAAATTGAAAAAAAGCAGTAAGAGCACATTCTCCCTATGGAGCCTGGACTGGGGCAGGTGTCTCATTAGCTGGACCTTTCATTAAATATTCTCAAGTGTTTCAGATTCAAGGTGCCTTGAAGCCCTTCCAGCAATATTCTTCTGTACTTATCAACACTCAGCTGGGAGACAGGTCTTTCCTGATTTGATCCAAGTTCCACTATCAATATCTTGGGTGGCTCATTTACTTATTTGACAAATATTTATTATACAATTACTATGTGACAAGTGATGAGCCAGACAACAGGGATCAAATGGTGGAATATGCTAGACACAGAGCCTGCAGGCTAGTGTGGAAAAACACCTTCCACTGAGTGGCCATGTGAACTTTGGCAAGGTCCTCAACCTCCTTGGCTCTCAGGTAAGACAAGAGTGGTGCTGGAAATGCCTTCTCTCTCCCTCTCCCTCATTTCTGGCCCCTGCTGGCCCATCTCGGCCTGTTAAGAAATCCAAAGTCCATCCTCCAGCCAGGCTGATCCTGGCTGAAAACAAAATTGTTTTTTTCCTTCCCTACTAGTCCTGGGAAAACAAGCTGGCTGAGGTGGTGCACAGGGGCCAGCAGGGTGACCTTTGTCCCTGCCAGCTTCATCTTCTCCAGTCCTGCAAGGCAGGCTGACCTGGGAGCATTCCTTCAGAGATGGGCAAGCCTGGGCAAGTAGGGAGGTGGTTAAGTGGACTGCAGGTGGGAGGAGGCACTTCTTGCCTTCATAACCAAAAGAAGTCCCCAGTGGACCCTACCAGGACACCACCCACCCTCCCTTGCCAGAAACACATACTGCTGGGGTGCTGCTCTTTTCCACTGGCTCAGAATGATAGAGTGTAATAGGGGCTAGGGATTTAGCTCAGTGGTTCGGCCGCCTGCCTCGAAAGCGCAAGGTCCAGAGTCTGATCCCCATACCCCCCAAAAAAAGTACAAGATAGAGTGTAAGGCTAGTTTCCAGCCTCAGCTTCCTTATCTGTAAAATTGGGCTTGGTCTCCCCAAAGTAGTCCAGATAGAGGCAAAAGAGTATTGCAACTGGTATACGGACTGCCAGGCCTTGTGCTAAGCACCTCACAGGTATTAATCCCCCACAACAGCACTAGGAGAGCTCACAGTTCTGTAAAAAAAAGAACACCATAGCTCAGATCCTGAGTAAATATGTAGTGGAGGAGTCAAGACTGACAATACAGATCTTACCCTCTCAAACCTGCCCACCTTCGACCATGCTCTGGTGTAGTCCCCATAACAACAATGGAATTAGAAGTCATACTCTAAGCTGTCTGTTACCATGCACTGACCCTAGGCTAAGCACTTCGCTCACATTAATTCATGGCTATGATGCTTCGCAAATATAAGGGGTGATTCTCAGCAAGAGCAAAAATATCTTGGCACCATGAGGGTTTGCAAAAAACTGTGACCCCTCCAGGTGACCATATGATCCTGCCAAGGCAGGAAAGAGATTGAAACTCCCATTTCCTGTGAACAGAGGCCTTCTGCCAGGACTAAGGAGCCTGTCTAGAGAAGGAGAACACTGTGTCTTCTTCCAGCTTGTCTTCAGAGCCTGATCCTTCACCAACCCTCTAAGCTATCTAGATCTCACATTACTACCTCTCTACCCTGGAACCTTTCAAGTGCTGTCCTCCAGTCCCCCATTATCCTTCCATCAGCCACTAGGAGACTCTGGCAGGGCTCAGATGTCCTAACAGGGCTCTCCAGAACACTGTAGGATGCTCCGCAAATCCTGATGAACCTGTCAGTCACCATCCGGTCTCCACACTATCATGACTAGAGCGATCATGATTCGGGACAATTGACCAGATCTATCATGAATCTTCAGTGGCTCTAAACCTACTCCCAAGGCCTGTGCTTGCTTCCTTAGAGTCCTTTCTATACAAGCAGTGTTACATTTGTGCTTGGGATTTCCGACAGATGGTCTTCTCCACCATGCCCGGGCCTGATTTTGCTCTTCTACAGCCCAGAGCCAGGTCAAAGCCAGGCAGAGAGCAACAGGCCAACAGTGAAATTGGGGCCAAAGAAAGAAACTGGGCCCAGGAAGCACAAGGAACTGGGCCAAGATCACGCAGAGTAAGATACCCACGAGCCCCGCCACTGTGGCTCGCCGCCGCCCTTATCCAGCTTCTCGCTCTCTCCTACCCGCTACGTCAACCGGAAGTGGCATGTGCAGGGCTGTAAACACAACCCGCAAGGTCCCACCCCCCCCACTCCGCTCCCAGCCCCGCCCCCGTCTGCCATGTGACATGCCCCCGCCCGCCCTCAACGCGGCCTCATTGGGCTGCCAGCTTTGTTTACCTTATATGGCCAGGTCCTAACACCCCGCGGCAGCACATTGGCCGAGGCTCGGCCTCTCTCAGCTGACGTCACCCGGGACAGAAAGATGCAAATAAACCGGGGCATTCTGGGAAGGTAAGTCTAGAGCGGCTCCGGAACTGGCTCCTCGCGGTCCTAGCGCCCCCAACGCTCAAAGACGGGATTTCTGGCAGAGAGGGCACAAGCTGTTGCGTGGGAAAGTGGGTACTCCAGGGAGGGGCACCCCAAGACTCCAGAAGCTAGTGGCCTTGTCTGCCTGTCCCAGGGGTCGTCCTTATCTCGAGACCCACCTCTTTTCTAGCTGGCCGAGAGCCACACTGGGAAGGGCAAGACGAGTGTGCTGTGGGGGCCTCCGAAGCCTTTCTGGAGGCGGTGACTTTTATCAGCGCCTTGAATGGCCAGCTCCCTAGTTCACTGAACGATATATATTGGCGCCTACTGCAGCGGCTCTGGGCGAGAATTCCTGGGGTCTCCCACTCTTCTGGGGGTTGCAGGGTCCCCAAAACCCGGAAACCCGGTATTTGCATCCACTTCTGTGATCAACCCCGCACTCAGTAGGCGTTCAGCTACCAGACCCGCCCTCCCAGCCTGCCCGGGGGCGGGAGCGTCGCGGACTACAGATCCCAGCATGCCCCGCTGGCCGCTGGAGCCGCGAGGCGCGGCGAGTCAGAGCGCACGGTAAATATTTGTATTAGCCGGAGCCGGCTCGCTAATGGTGGACGGGTGAGGCGCGGCGCGAGCGCGCAGGCGGCCGGAGCGGGCAGCGCGGCGGCGCCATGTCGGTGAACATGGATGAGCTCAAGCACCAGGTCATGATCAACCAGTTCGTGCTGACGGCGGGCTGCGCTGCGGACCAGGCGAAGCAGCTGCTGCAGGCAGCCCACTGGCAGTTCGAGGTGCGCGCGGGGCAGGCGGCGTGGACACGTACCAGGGGTGCCCCCCGGGCCGGGCAGAGGGCTCCACCCGCCCGCTCGACGGCCAGGCCGGCTCCCGAGGCCCGGCGGCCGGCTTGGGGACGCCCCCCCTTTGTCCGAGTAACGGCCCAGGGTGGGGCGGCGGCCGGCCGGAAGGAGGACGTCCCGGGCCGGGCTGCGCCGGGCCGAGGGAGGAGCCGCCCGGCGGCCGCGGGTCTGTGTGCCCGGTGGGCGGCCCGCGCGTGTGCGTACATGTACATGTGCGTTTCTATTTACGCACGTACCGCGCTTGGCGTCAGCGGGCACATCGAGGGTTGTGGGCATGTGGGTACGTGTGCGGACGCGCTTTCTGCCCGGCTGTGTCTGGTACTAGATACGCGGGTGTCATGTTTGGTGTATGTTTAGCGTATACAGTTGTGTCGTATACAGTTGCGTGGAGTGTATGGGCAGTGTACTGGAGCCCCACACTACAACGCGGAGATGTGCGTATGCGTACTTCGTTCCAGAAGTGTGCCTGGGGGTCGTTCTGCGGGTCTAGGTGCCCTCTGGGCTAAGAGAGGAACCTGTACCTTCGCGGCTGCTCTGAGGGTGGTGTGGGTCTATAGCACAAGCCACCTGAGCAGAAGGTGGAGCTGCCCCTGTCTGGCGCTCACTCCACCCACTAGGTCTCTGCTGACCTGTAAGGTAATAGTGCCCGGAAGCTGTTGGTGCTCCCTAGAGGCCATCTGACTTCCCAACTCAAAGACCCTGAAATCACCACCCCGGTGGTATCTAGGGATAAGACCAGAGTCTCTCTATAGTGGTGCCCCTGATAGGTGTAGGGTCAGAACCTCAGCCAGTCTGGTAGTATTTGTGCCCGGCTCTAGCCCAGAACCTGGTTTCCTTGGGAGCCATGCCAGGGATAGTGTTGGGGCCTCCAGGGAGAACCAGGACCCAGGGGCCTTTAGGGCTGTTTCCTCGGGGCAGGGTGGGGATCAGAAAGAATGTCCCCAGTTTGGGATTGTCTGGGAAGGCTGTAGGCTTTCCATCTAGATAAATCCATTCTCCTTTCCTTGCTCACTCCTTCAGTTTTAAGACTTTCAGTGTACTGTCCCTGCACTGTTTTTATGCAGCAGAGGAAAGGCTGGTTTCTTAGGCCTCAGTTTCCACACCTGGACCTGGGGGGAGCCAGGTGAGTCAGCCTCTAAGGCCTAAATGGCCAGGCCTCTGCCCCCTCCCCCCCTGCAGCCCCACCCAAAGGAAGCTCCCTGTTCCCCACCTCTCCAGCAGCCCTAATCAACCCTGTTTGTCTCTTGGGTTGGATGTGGTAAAACTTGCAAAACTGCATTCATGGCAGTTTGCTGGAGTCCCACTTGTACATACAGGGCTCCCTCCCTGCCTGGGCTGGGCAGGCAGGTGTCCAGTGGGAAATGGGCCCTGCCTGCAGGACTCTGAACCCATCCTTCAGAGTCAGAGACCCAGGCTGTGTCTCTCAGCACAGATTGAATTGAAAATATAGCTTTGAAGAATGCAGCAGCTGGGGAAAAACTGTCCACAGGAATGTCAGGACCGCCCTGAAGACTGGGGAGCTTTAGTAGCCACTGGCAGCCCAGGGGTACAAGCACCTGTGCCCTTGATTGTCAGTTTCACTGTCTGTAAAATGGGGGCTACTTGGTTATGAGCAAGTGGGCTGTGAATCTCCAAGCCTCAGGCCTAGGCCTAGAAGTGAGGGGGTTCCTCATGGTTAGCCCATCCCCCTTTACAACCAGCCTCCACGGGTCACATTCGTGTATTTCTGGGTCACATTCTCAGATTCAGGTGTTAATGGGAGCAGAGGCTGCAGAGGGAGGGGACCTCTGTCTAGCTGTGCAGATGTTCTTAGTGGAGAACTCACGGTGGCCTGTGGGCTCCTGGGTTGGGGTTTGCAAAGTGAGCCTGGGCTGAGGGGCATAGCTGATGCTGCCAGGAAAATGCTTGGAGACCCAGCCCCCATACCTGAGTTCCCATTCCATTTGGGAACACCCAGATACAGTGTCTCCAGGAAATTCCCAAAATAATTCATTTGAGTTTAAAAAAGAAAAAAAAAAAAGAAAAAACCCCAAGGGCAAGTCCTGGGACCCGGGCTCGGTTTCTGGGTGTGTTGGTAAGGGAAGACTACAAAGTCCACTGGGCAGCACAAGCTAGGGAGCAGGTCTACCAGGGATGACTTCAGGTCCCAGCCAGGGACTTGGCAGTGCCTGGAGGACCCCTCACACACTTAAGGACCCCTCCCTTCCCTAGCACTTTCACAAGAACCACCAGCTCCCTTACTTCCCACAGGGACCTAAGGGAGGTGCAGTAAATGCCAGCACCTCCCATGAGGGCTCCCTGAAGCCACCCTGGAGTCCCTGCCACCCATTTGGGGCAACCCAAGGGATATGCCTGGAATCTCAGGCCAGGATCCTAACTTCACTTCTGCCTTTTGTTAATCTCATGACCCCTAGCAAAGAATTCCATCCTCAGTTTCCCTATCTGTAAAGCAAGTGATTCCAGGCCAGCTTCTGTGGTAATTGCCCCTTGCTTGATGGAATCCTGGTTGAAGAGGCAGCACCTTGCTTGGTGGGGTAATGGTGTAGAGGGAGAAGGTAGGGTGTCATGTGGCCAACATGGAGTTGTCACGAGCTGTTGTTCCTGGCTGGCTTCAGTGCTAGGGCCACCCTCCTGCTCACCGCCTTGACATTCCTAGGAAGGTTTGGGTGGGTGAGTATAAAACCCAGACCCTCCCATTTAAATCCAGCTCCTCCCAACTGGAACATGGTGGTTTGAAGAGGTCACTGTTGTTCATCCTTGTGATACAGATGGAGACACTGAGGTCCAGACAGGGCAGAGCCATGTGTTTAGCCAGAGGTGTAGTAGAGAGAGCCAAGAAGCAGGTCTCTTCCCTCAAGGCATGAACTCAAGATCTCCCTAATTAAGAGGAATAACAGACTCAGAAGAGTAGAGACTTGGGGCAGGGATTTAGGTCAGTGGTTCCAGCGCCTGCCTCACAAGCGCAAGGTGCCGAGTTCAATCCCCAGTACCAAAAAAAAAAAAAAAAAAAGAAGAGTAGAGACTTGCTACCATCTATCTAGGTAGGGACAGGGAAGGTTAGGACATCCTGAATCAAACTGAGGACCATCTGGCCTACTGAGGGGCCTTACAGCCTTGCCTGCCTGCCCAGAGCAACAGTGACAGTGTCAGAAGTATGTGAGGGGTGGGCTCTACAGCTAGGAGTCACCTGGCAGGTAGCCTTGTAAGATTCTTCACTACCACTACTGCCTCCAGTTTCATGGTGTCTCCATGGGTGATAGTGAGGCTTGGGTGGTGACAGGTACACTGCTGGTTCTTGGCCACCTCAGCTCACCTTGAGCCTGGGAACTATGGTTAGGGAGGGTCCTGGAGGGTAAGCACAATCTTTCTTCCTGTAGACGGCCCTCAGCGCCTTTTTCCAGGAGACCAACATCCCCTACAGCCACCACCACCACCAGATGGTAAGTGTCCCCTGGAGACCTATATGTGGCCCCGCTGGGGGCTCTCTGTTCTGGGCAGGGATGAAGGAGACTGAGCCAGGTGGGTGTATAAGTGGCCCCCCAACCCAGGGAGGCTTCCAGTGGAGAGCAGTGCACATGCGACTGCACCTCCTGGAGATAGGCCTGCTGGAGTGTGATTGGTGGGCAGCCTGGGTTCAGCAGGACCTGGGTAGCACTGGCCCTTGGAGCTTGGGCTTCTGCCTGTACAGTGGGGCAGCACTCCTGGGTTGCTGTGCTAAGTAAGGGGGCTGGGAAAACCTCATGGCCCTGCACTGGGCAGTGTGGATCTACAGCCCAGGTACCCAATGAAACTGGGTCAGCCCAGCTTAGTGCCTTTCCCTGTGAGCCCCTGCATTGGGACCAGCTGGGCCAGGGCAAAACTCAAGTGGCGTCTGGAGGGAGGGGTATGGGGTCACCTGTCTCTTCTTCAAAGGCAATGGGGACCTTTGGGCCCTCCCAGAAAGAGGTGCTCACCCCTCCCTCTCTCCTTTCTTTTCCCACAGATGTGCACTCCTGCCAACACCCCTGCCACACCCCCCAACTTCCCTGATGCTCTCACCATGTTCTCACGTCTCAAGGCCTCAGAGAGCTTCCACAGTGGCAGTAGCGGCAGCCCAATGGCCACAACAGCTACATCGCCCCCTCCACACTTCCCCCATGCCACCACTGGCAGCTTTGTGGCACCCAGCTGGCCAACTGCAGGCTCACCCCCTGGGGGCCCACAGCACCACCAGCCGCAGCCATCCCTGTGGACTCCAGCACCCCCTTCTCCGGCTTCAGACTGGCCACCCCTGGCCCCTCAACAAGCTGCTTCAGAACCCAGGGCTCACCCTGCCATGGAGGCAGAGAGATAAGGGAGGCCCCTCCCCCCTCCCGGAGGCCAGGACCCCGTGGGGCGGGGGAGAGGATGTCTTCATGGGCCCCCTTCACCCCTCTGTTTGCACCCTTGCGCCCTGGAGCCCTGGAGGGGAGAGATGGACTCTAGCCAGGCAGGGATACATCTTGTGGCAACATGCACAGCTTCACGCATGCAAGTTCATGGAGCAAAGGCATGCGGTCTCCAGCTCACGGATTTGGCTCAAAGTGGCTTGGGTGCCTGGTGAGCAGCACCTTGGAGACCAAACAGCCTTCCCACGAGGACTCACCCACCCTGCCCTAGCTCAGGGTCACTGTGGACAGTCACCCAGCAGAGACATGGCTGGCTACTGACTTGGAGCTCCCTACAGCTGACAAACCTAGATCCCCACACTCGGGAATGCAGAGCCTTCTCCGCATGTGTGCGTGTAGCCATGTCTATATATTTATATGTATGTCGCTCTTTAAAAAGCAACCTAGTTTATGGGGCAGCTGGACTTTGCATGTTAGAGTGAGCCCCAAGCCCCATGCCCATCACCCTTCTCCCCAGGGCCCTGCCTCGCCCCACTCCCCCCTTGTCAGCCTGCACTGCTGTTCCCCAAAAGAAAAGGTTTATGGGAAACTCCAGGACTCTTCCTTCCCATCCCCAGTGCCTGCCTGCTGGGGCTGTCTGCATGCCTTCCCCAGAGCCCAGGGGTACCTGATCTCCACTTTTCTTTCCCCGTTTTAACAGAAGAAAGAATTCCAAACTATCACCAGGCTCTGTAGTCTCTTGCCTCACATCCTAGGCTTTGCTACCAGCTAGCTATGTTGGGGGTGGGAGTGCAGAGCACAGGTCACCCCCAGTATCACTCAGCTCCACAATGTTCCTGCCTGTCACTGTCTTCTCAGTCACAATGTGCTCTAGAAACCACCTGCTCACCAAAAACTATTTCCATGAAATTAGTTTTCTGGCCTGTGTCTCCACAACCTGACCCCTCCCACTGCTCAGGTGGACAGATCTTGGCCCCAGTTTTGAGTAAGCACATTTAACAACTGCCTCCATCTTCCTAGACATTACATAGGATAACTTGGACCCTCTGAGCTCAGCCTCCAGCAACACAGCATAGTGGGTGGCTATTGCCCTTGCATTCCCCCCGGGATACCTGTATAGCAGGGAATGGGTCTCCAGCCTCCTGACCCCTCACTCCGCAGCTTCTCTACTCTGGAATGGACAGAAATTCTTGGAAAATTGCCATACACACCCATAAGTGGTAGGGAAAGGCTTTGTAGAGAGAAGTATCTAGGGGTCACTTGCCATGCATGGTCAATGCGTAAGCCCATCTCGGGGCAGACTGCTAAGGTGGCCATAAGCATTAGCTGTCGCAACATGGTGCACAGTCTAGATTCTGCATGGTTGGGGGCTGAGGAGCACTAATTTTTGAGTGCCCAGCAGTATCTGGGTACCCTATAGTTGCTACCAGTACTAAAGTGACCCAGACCAGCATCCTCACACAGGAGATGTTAGAGCTGAGGCCACCCTACCAAGTCCTGGGGGCCACTGTGAGTTGGGCCTAGAGGTCTCCTACATTAAGGCACAAAGGACGTTCAAGGTTCTAGGTCTGGGCTTTCCAGCCTCAGAGCTGTTGACATCTGGGTCAGAATCACTGTCCCTACAGTGGGTGCTGTCCTGTGCACCATGGAGTGCACACAGCATCCAGTCTGGTTGCACCCCCTAGTTGTGGCGATCAAAAACAGGGCAGTTGCCCCAGTGGAGAGGTCTGTAGTCTTGGAGGTCACATACCTAGCTGTCAGGCCAGCAGGCCCAAGGTTCCTGGTCCTGCTAGGTCAAATCTGGTGAGAGACTCCCCAGGTAGGTAACTGCAAATTATCTGCTTACACTAAAAGCCACTCACTTTATGCCAAAAAGGTGAGCTTCATGGCGTGCCAGTTACACCTCAAAGCTGTTACTAAAAATAAAACAGCTCCCGGGAGATTCTGAGGCAGCTGCTTAGCACACAGTGCCTGGAAGCTACTAGAGTTGATCCCTGAGCCTGCAGGGTATGAGGATCCCTGAATGCTTGTAAAACACCCAAATTTTGGGCTCACCTCTAAGGCAGCTGCCCTAGAGAAGGGTCCTAAGACCTAGGCTGAGCCCCCTCCCCCATGGTGCTGGGACTGAAATCCAGGGCCTTGTGGATGCCAAGGCAAGCAGTCTACCTATGAGCTACACCCTTGGCCCTTTAAATTTTTGAGACGGGGCTCATTAAGTTGCACAGGCAGGCTTCAAACTTGAGATCCTCTTCCTCAGCCTTCCAGATAGCTGGGATTACAGGTATGCACTACCACACTCAGCTGCAGACTGATTCTTAATGTGTCCCAGGCAAGGTGGGAACTGTTTCAACCCTCTCCTAGGAGGGAGCAATTTGGAAGCCCTAGGCAAAACTGGAATTGGGGCCTGGGAATTCAGTGTTCCAGTAGATGCAGAGGCCCGATGGCAAGTGCCTGTAATCCCAGCATTTTGGATGGCTGACCCAGGAGGATGGCAAGTATGAGCCCAGCCTGGGCAACTTAATGAGACCCTGTCTCAAAAAGTGAAAAAAAATGGCTGGGGATATAGCTCAGTGTGAAGACCCTGGGTCCAATCCCTAGTACTGCAAAAGAAAAAAGTGGGCCAGTACTTCATGGGAGCCAGAGGTGGCCCACAAAAATGTACCATGTGCCCTAGAACTCAAATGTGAGAGAACCTAGAAACGTGTGGTGTAATCCAAGCTTGGAAGCTGAGAAGCAAAATTTAAGACTGCAGACAACCCATGCGTTTAAGAGTAAACTGAGTGAAAAGCCAACGGCCAAAGTTGTAGCAAAACAGACCCACAATCATAGGCCACTCCAGTTGTGCTTCATTGCAGGCACCTCTTGGGGACTGCCTGAGCAACACAAGGAAACCAGCCTTGTTATTTTGAAGTCTTCACTTTTCTGAGCTGGTTATGCCTTGCTTCCCCACTGGATTAGAGCTCCAAATGACTTTTCCAAAATTGCACTCTAACAAACGCCATTTGCATCCATGAAGTTGCTAAAAAGAATGTCCTTCAAGCTCTTCATGTCTGATTCCCAAAGAGAATATGGCAGTATTTTTGAATGAAGACCTGGTCTTGCCCAGTGACAAGCGGTGTCTGTTCCCTTCCAGTCTGCTGTGGGGGTGGGCACTTTTCTGACGGGCTTGCAAAAATGAAGTCCCTGCTGTGTGCTGTGTGGCTTACACAGTGTCACACATTTTGTTAAATATGTTTACCAACGTTTTAACATCACGAGTGTTTATGTGAAAAGCTCCATTTCTTACTTATCTTGGCAACTGGAATATATGTCCCAAATTCCCTCAAGGCCCAAAGCAGCTGGAGCTGACCATTATACTAGGGACACAGCCTTCCCACCCCTGCCAGGCCAGGCCCCTCCATTCCATTGGCTACATGGTCATTTCCAACTGTTGCTGTGGAATCAGCTGGATTTTGAAGGGAGAACTTTGCTTTTAACCACAAGCAACTACATTAGTAAGTGCCCTGCTCAGTGGGGCGGAGGGGCAGAGCATGATGCTGAGCTGCTTCCTGTGGCAGGCAGGGCTCCTCCAGACAGCCCTAAAGAGAGAAGGGCTTGTTCTCCTGAAGGTGTTGGATGTGGGGCCACACCTAGGGCTACTGAGTGTCACCAGGATTTGTCCAGTGGACCCACCAAGGTTCTCTGAGAATGCGCTGTGGCCAGCCCAGAGAATCAGGCTGGCAGCAGCCCTGCAGGACCATTTCACAGCAGTTCCTGCCCAGCAGAGGACAGATGAGCCCTTTCACTCAGATCCACCTCCCTATGTGGGGAGGCCACCTGGGTTGGCCAAGATGGGGGTCTTTTGATGCAAAGCTGTTTCCAACTCCTGCATTTGGGAAAGTCTCTGGGTTTGTAGCCACGGGTTATATTTGGGCAAGTTACACATTTTGAATGAGACTTAAAATACTATTTCTGGGGTGAGGTGGTGCTGTGGGGAGGCCACTTCAGGATGGCCAAGGCCTTACAAGGTGCTGAGAGTCTGTTGGCAAAATCTTGCACTGCTTTCTGGGCCATTTCTCATGTCCTGGGGAACAACAAAGCTGCAAATATTGGCATTTTTTGCAGATCCTGATGAAGCCATGAGCAAGGGGAAGGGGTAAGAAAAGAGAAACCCTTGTCTGGTGTTACATGTTTGCAGCGTCTCTCCCTAGAGCCCCCAAATCCACAGGAAGTTAGTTGTGATGGGTCAGTGCGTGGCGAGTCCACTGTCCTTGAAAGTCACCATTCAGAAGGCTCTTCTGTGGCCTGCATTTCCACCACCAGCTCCAATTCCAGTACCTGCTCCAATCAGTAGTGCCTCCAGATTGGACCCACTGCTCTTCAGAAGGCATCTCCTTCCCCATCCTACCTGGCCCAATTTGTGCAGCCCTAAGAGCCTCACTGCACAAGACCAGTTCACATCAGTTTTAAAATGTAGACCCCTGGTTCTAAGAACCTCTCTTCCTCCTAGGCAAGCCAAGAAGAGATTGATCACTCTGGCCCTGTCTAGCTTGGCCTTGCAGCTATGGCCCAGGACCGGTGTTGTTGCCCCCTTTCATACAGGAAGCTGGGCCAAGGACTTTCCAAAATGGGGTTCCATTGTTGCCACATACCTTCCTCTGCTGCACTGGGGTCACCCATGCTCCTGAGGCAGCTGCCCGGGGCCTTGGGTTGGTACGGCTTTCCCATCATCCCCCAAGCCCTGCAGGCCCACCCCTAGCCCAGGGACAGGACTGTATTCTGGGATCATGCCTGGCTGAAGTCCTTACCTTCCAAGCACCCAGGAGGCCTGCAGAATGCAGATAGGTTACATACTGACAAATGGGGCCCTCATTCCTCACTCCCCGGGCTGCAGGAACCAACTCAAACACTGATGTCTCAGGTTTGTAAACCTCTGAAATGGGCCCAGAAGATGGGTTTGAAGGAACTGAGTTGGAGAACACACGAGTCTGTGAGGGAGAGTGGTGCCCAACTCTGAGGACAAAGGAGAGGCCTGGGGTGCCAGCATGTTGGCAATGGCCTGTCTCCAGGAACCCCACTTCCACAGCTGACCCGGGCTGGAGCCACAGCTTCCTTGGCTGAGGTGGAAGAGGGAATAAAGCCAGGCCCCTGATAACTTGTGCACAATACCTAGCAGGTGTGGCCTCCTGGGCAGCCTGTCAAGACCTCTGTACTACCCACCACAGAGCTGGGACAGCCCAGGGCACATGGCTGTCATGTGAAAAATGGTGGAGGAGAAAGGTTTCTTGTGAGTTCTGCACAGGTTTTGGCCATAGGTGCTAGGAGGCTGAGTCTTGGCAGCCAAAAGAGGGACCAGCAAGTCCCACCCACCCACATGGAGAGGGTAAGGCCACCCCCCGAAGAGTATACCTCATCTACAGCCAGACAGGTGGGAGGTTTTATTCTGGGCAGAATTTGCCAAAAATACTCATCTGTGACATGGAGGTAGGGGCTCAGTCTATGCCAGCCAGTGCCTCCGCCAAAGGCAACATGGAGAGAGAAGTCACCTGGGTCAGGAAGAGCTTGGCCTCATTTGGGCAGAGTCCTTGGAGAAAGAAAAGACCAGTCAGCTGGGAGGCTGAGTGAGGCAAGAATATCACAAGTTTGGGCTGGGGATTTGGCTCAGTAGCTCCCATGCCTGCCTTGAAAGCACAAGGTCCTGGGTTCAATCCCCCCACCCCCATACCAAAAAAAAAGGCCAGGG